TATTGCAGCAACCTCGAAGGGTGGCACCAAAATGTTGGGAAACAGAATCCCTGCAACCAAACGTGTGGATTTGAATTTGTATAAATGCTTGTGCAGCTATTAATAATTATTACTAATAATTTATTGTTATTTTGTTGTAAAATAAGAAATATGTTTTACTTTAAGGAGCCCTTCACCCAGGAAACCAAAAATGTTGTATTGTAACAGGTTTAACTGACTGTTGGCTATGAAAAAATATTACAAGTGCTTATGGGAATCATTAATAATTGTAATTTGGATTATAAAATTACTAAATCGGAGCACCATCTCATTGTAGAAAAAAAATATATTTTGCAAAACAGTTAAGTCTCAGTTATTTATCATACCAGCCTGATAAAACCATGGTCTTAAAATAATAATTGACAGCATAAGTTTAGCACTAACCTGCTATGGCAGTGCTGAACTACTATGTCGCTAATTCATTAAATGCCAGTGAAATGGAGGTAATCAGTAGTTTGTAGCTAAGCTAATTATGCTAAATGGTTGATAATCTCACACAGTCTACCCATCTCTCGGAGAAAAACTGGGTTATAAATTAACACTCTTGCCTTTTTCTCTCTCTCTGTCTCTCTATTTAGTTTTTTGAAAACCTGATTTTATAACTTTTCTTGGTAGCATAGCAACTGCCACAGCCATTCGTGTTTCCTACTGTCTGCTGCTAACAGCGTCACTGTTCAGCGCTCCAAGCAGGAACGAACCATTTCACGCCGATAGGGGGGTTCAGGGCAAAAACGGGTGTGTGTCTTTTGGTCTGGGAGGGGTAACATTAAATTTTTACTGCTGAAAACAATCTTTGAAAAAATACAATATGATTAATTTTGTATTTCTGTGAACAAAATATAAATAATGAAATTGTGGCGGCCCCCCTGTTGGTCAGGGCCCCTAGAATCGTCATCAATTTTGAATTAATATGAGTTACAACATTCAATTTACCTTTGGATCAATGAATTACATTTGAATTAGATCTTTATATATTCGAATGCCTCTTTTCTCTGGAAATTTTAAATAATCTGTTTCTGACACTGAGATAAAACAATTGAAGGTAAAAAAAAAAAAAAAAAAAAGTTTTTACCTTCAAACCCGCTGTCAGTAGAAAGAATGGACCGACTCTTGGTTTGATGCTCATTGTGAGTAGCCTGTGGTTCCTGTGTATCCGCACGCCGGTCCGTCCGCTGCGGCCTCGTGTCGTCACGCAGAAGCCTGCGCTTGCAGCTGGATCTCTGAGGAGCGATCCAGCCGGAAGCGTTGGAGCCGTGTGTGCGCGCCGGGTTGCGCCGCTCAGAGCTCGGCTGTGTCTTTGAGCACACAACGCAGTGCTTATACATCACGGAGTCGAAGCTCAGAGTCCATTTGACGCCTTCCAGAACCTCCAGCATCATGTCCACCACAACAAAGTGAGCGTTCTCCTGCACACACGCAGAACATCAGAGACAACATTTTTCACTATCAGAACCTTTACTGGGAAAACAGCCGCGTTAAAGGCAAACTCTAAATTCTGCTTGCATATATGACCAAATTGGTTCTTAGAGGAACGTTCTTTCTTTTTAATATTTGTGACGTTTTCCATTGAATTTGCTGCCTTGTTCCACAGACCTAGCAAAACAATATGTAGCATTTTATTGTGGCATACTATGCCAGTTGGGTAATTTAAAATCTGACTCAAAACCTGATAATGGATGTAAGAAGAACGTATATGTAAATTATGCTCTGGGCGAAAGGGGGAGGGGACAAACTGCTATTATAGGATTAAAACAGAAAGTACTATTATTATTATGTCATGTTGAAAGCATTGCCACAAGGTGGCGACGTTGGTTAAGGAACCTACAGAACTATTTTATGAACAGTGGTGAAGACATGTTTCAAAAGAAAATTGTGGTATTTTCAGAGTGTTTTAGGCTTTAAAGTGCTACAAATCTACATAAATGATTGTAAAAGCAGTGAAATCATAATGGCAGACCTTTTCCAGCTCACAGCTGGTCCTAAAGATGTCTGCAGGTAAATCCAGGAGTTCAGAGCAGCTTCGGTCTTTGCTGTGAGGCTTTGAGGAGGAGTGACCTGATGCAAAACAGATAAACACACGTTAAAGTTCAGCACTGTCATTAATATTAATGAGTTCTCATGTTAATCGCTAAAATTCTCAGGTTTTTTTAAGCTACATTTATTTTTCAGATGTATGAGGGGTGGGTAATATGGACTTAACTTTTTATCACAATATTTTGTGGCACAATTATCACAATAAGAACTGTTTATTACATCATGACATGTCAAACATAGCAAAAAGTATCTCATTGGTAAAGCGCTTCTGTACGACACCAATCACATGAACAAACAGTGGGAAAAAAATATTAAACTAAAGAATCTCGACAATAAAAACAGTTTTTTTTCCCCAAAACATCAATTGGAATTTATTGTGACAATGATAAATTGAAATTTATTATGAAAAGAAATTTATCATAATTGATAAATGATGCAATAAAAGCCCATTTTGCTATCATCCATCCATCCATCCATTTTCTGAACACCCTTGTCCCTCAGTGGGGTCGGGAGGGGTGCTGGTGCCTATCTCCCCATTTTGCTATCATTTGAATGAAAATGTTTTTATGTTTCACTATTACGCTAATAGTTAAATATTTTCATTGTTAATACACACATTTTCTCGCAGTTATAATGTTTGTGTACACAAGTTAAACTTTAACTCAATACATATGAGACTAAAAAAAAAAAAAGGTAAATGACATGCAAACCTCTCATGATAAGTTTTGCTGGATGATAAATTGTCCCAGAAGTTATCGCGATAAGCGATAATATTGAAGTTATTCAAGACTTCAGCTCAAGTTAAGACTTTGGGATCAACAAAGAATTTTTTGAATTTGAATTTAATTTCTAACATACATTTAAGGTGGAAGACGTTTTAAATATCCAAAATACAACCAAAACAACAAATATAATGAATACTAAAGTCTCTGTCAACATAACTGTCCTTCATCAAACAGGCCAGTTGAGACCAAAGCATCAGACTGAAACCTTTTGTCATCCAGGCTTTGGTAGAAGAAGACACACAAGAAAGACTACCAATCACACAAATAGAAATGATCAATCTCGATTTAATTTATCACACCATGAACTGATTTATTGCTCACTGCGACAGGCTTAATTCTGTGGTACCTGTCCTGTTGGGGGTACTCCAGCTGTTTAGGCTCCACCCCCTGTGCTCCTTCTCAGGTTGCTGAGGGCTTCTGCTGGATCGGTCCTGGCTGCTCAGGATGCTGATCGGGCTTGACGATAGAGAAACACGCGGCTTCTCATCCTCCACCGTGGTTTCGAACGGTTGGTGACAGGAAGTCAGCCGGCGCTCCGCGTCCTCCTTACCGGTAGACGTCAGACACTCACGCTGGTCACATGAACCGGGCGACGGAGGGGAAGAGTCCATGCTAGGAGGAGCACATTTTAAGTCAAATTAGAATTATTATAAGAATGCGATAGCTTAGAGTACAGATGTCCTGAATGCAGGTTTTTGTAGTAAGTGAAATAGGTATTACATTAAGAAACTCAGAGAACAAAACAGCTGTGCATACATACATTTCTACCTAAAGGGAGCCCAATCAAGCTAGCATGTATATTCTTGTTCTGGGGGAGGAAGTTGGAGCGCCCAGAGATAACGGATGCTGCATCTCTTATTACTGTTCACTGATGCAGAGATATACGATATCTCGTAGGTGAAATGATCATAAAATCATATCAGAACTAAAAAGGAGGCATGCTACCGTTACCATAGCATAGCATAGCAACACATGGAACATGCAAGGCAACAACTGTCCCACCATGTAGTCTTTGCTGAATGCAGGTTTTCATATGAGGGACATGAAAACTTGATTCTGTTTGACAGTAAAAACACACATAACTGACTCATCTTCAGCTCTATTTTTGCGTATTTTAGTTTTACTTTGGATCCAACTAAACTGGTCTTCTGTCTTTCGTTTCTTGTTGCAGTTTTAGGTGATTTCTGAACTCTAAGCTTTGTGTCCTGCCACATTTTTTCTATCTTCACATGAGAAACATACAGCTACTTTTCTGAATACCAACTGTAGTACTCAAGTTTTCAGAAGTTTTCCACTTGCTTTGCCGTTCGGGGGATTTACCCAACTGTTTAGCGACTGAAGCTTGACTCAGAATATGTTCATAAAAGATAAAGTAAAAGCCAAAAACATCTGATTCTTGGGGCGAGATAAATAAAAGAAGCGACGGAACATGCTGTACTTCTTGCGGACGTTTATGTACTTCAGTGTTTGCAGCAAGATGCCCTGACCATCCTCTTTATGAGATTTCTTCACAACAACAGCTTCTTTAGTCAGAGGCTCCATCAGAACCGAATCGATTGAAATCTAATAATGTTAGCTGTGTTAATTTTTAAGTGGTGATCAGAAAGAAAGCTAACAATGCTAACCATCTATCATTGCACCGCAGCTAGGGACAACAGTAAGTTAGAAAAGTCGCATTTGACGTGCTTCAAAAATACGGGAGTTATGTTAAAAATACGTTTTATTGACTTGAAACATGTTAATAATAACATTTCAAATTGTTTGTTGGCTTGTGGGAACCATTAGGCAGACATTAGTTTTAGATCAGGGGTGTCAAACTCATGAGTCGTATCCTGTCTTACACTGTGATTTATCATTGTGTGGTTAATCCTAACATGACCCGTTAACCATTTTTGGACAAGTCCTGTTTAAAACTTCAGATACATCAGGTTACTGGATGAGCTGGTGATTCGGGTACTTTACGTTGTTCTGCAAAATAACAGATTATTTAAAATAAGAAAAAAACTAGAAAATGTTTCACCAAAAAGAAATATCAAGTTGTCGGTATGAGAAAACATATATTGTGTAGCCTATGTTGTCCGAAACTGAGATCAGCAAGTTTAAAGGTTACAATGCAGATCATTTCACAGGTGGAGTTTCAGCAGAACATGAAAGTCTCTCTTCCTCCTCTCAATACTGTAGAATAACATCAACCTAGTTCATTTGTTATCCCAGTTCCTGTTTCTTGACTACCTGTGGGGAGACACAGACTTTCAGGACTGCCGATTAATCCGAAGCCTTTAGTCCGGAACCAGTGTTTTTCCAAGGAAAGTCTGGCACTTCATGGAAGGAAAAACTGAACTGCTACCACACACATAAACTAACGTAGCTACAGTTGAGCATAGATGCTGTCTTTTTCAGACAAAGGGACAAACTTTTCATTTTTTTAAAAATACAAATGTATTTGTGTCACATTGTCAAACTTAAACCACGGTCAACCATGTTACCTATGGATATATGCATGGAAATTACATTTCTTTGGAAGCTATAATTTGATTTGTTTGTTTTGCATTACAACTGTTTTTCTTGAGATAGATTTTTGACTCGTGTCATTTTGGCCATCATACAACTAGAAAACAGAGGGTTCACCTTTAACTATAAAAGTTAACACAATGAAGATAGCTTTCTAGGATTATAGCTCTGTAATTTGTATATAGATTTACACCAATAACATGTGGAAGTTACCCTTAATAGCCTGTTTATTTGGTTGGTTTCTAGGAATTGAATATACTTCATAACTGATTCATATCTATAACAATAGCTTGTCATAGCTATTGAAATAGCTATGACAAGCTATGGAAATAGCTATGGAAATAGCTTGTCATAGCTAGCTTAGCTGAGACCAGCTAAGCTAGCTCCAGTTCATCCGAGTAACTTTTACCTTTGCCCATTCAGCTGTTCTCTTCTTATTGGTTTTAATCAATCAATCAATCAATCAAATTTTATTTGTATAGCACATTTCAGCAGCAAGGCATTTCAAGGTGCTTTACATAATTAAAGAAAAAATAAATAAGAACAGCATGTGACATTGAATAAACAGTAAGAAAGAGAAAGATGTATTCCCATTTATTAGTTTTCACTTACAAAACAGATGTCCAGGTCTAAAATAATAATTTAGTTTAGTCTTTAGCATATTTGTAAAACTCACCTGGCTAAGCTACATTTGGTTAAGTGCTGAAAAATGTAATTTCACCAAAATAACTTAAGATGTGATTGAAAGGTGAACCATTTGACATTAAGACAACAATTAATGTCTAAATGAGGTCAAGAAGCTGTTAGGGTTAGCAAATAGGCTGTCAATGTCTGTCAATGTCTTTGATTTGGCTAAATAGAAGATATAGATTAAGAATGTCTGATTTTTAATAGATTTGCTTAACCTAAATAAAAATGAGAACTGGCTGGCCATCTGGTCTTAACTACCTTGACTTTCTGAGAATAGCTTCTTATTAGCTATGGTTAGTTTTTTTTTTTTTTTTGGTCATAGTTATGAGCTTATGATTTGGTCTTATTGTAGCTTATTTTTACCCAAATTTATTCTCCTCTTCATTTATAGAGATTCACAGAGATGCAGAGAGCAAGTCTTTCAGCAGGTAACAGGAAGGTCAAATGCAAAGTTCCTAAAGTTTTTGAGAATGTGGGCAGCATTTTTAAAGTCTCAGAGCTACATAACACTCTGGGTTTAGTATCTAAAATCTCTTGGAAAACCCATAGAGACCATCTTCTTTATAACTGATGCTATACTCTGTAATCATTTTGTTTTTGCTTTCAAATTTGGGTAAAATCTTGTTTCATAGTCTTGTCACAGAAGGAATAACTTGAAAATGTTTTTAATGCTGTTCTTATATTGTCTTAGGTGATGCCTAAGGAGATGTGAGTCTTCAAAAATTGGCATTGCTTCATGTGTTTGGTCAGAAGTTGCGTATGGTACCTTAATGAATTAGACGGACTGGCTGCTTTTTCCTGCCAGGAGACAGGTTTGCTGCGTCTGGAGATGACTGGACTGCTCCTGTGTAGGGGAACGTTTTCATCCTTGGAATGAGAAGGTTCCTCCTTGTTTGCCATAGCGTCTCGTGGCAGTTTGGAGCTCCTATCGTGGTCTCTGAGCTTGCTATTCCCTGGGATTTGTCTGGAGTTTTTGGAGATTTTGGTGCATTTCCTCCTTGTGAGTTGTTTTCGTGGGTACGGAAGGTCGAATGCCGTGTTTGTTTCTTCTTCTCCACTGGGTTCTTGTGTTGACCGAATCAGAGATGGGACGCAACCTGAATGGGTCGGCTCCTGGCTCTGGTTAGAAAAAGCCTCTGTTTCTCCGAACAGGAAGCAGAGACAAAAAGAACAACCTTTACTTTCAAACTGGAACAAAAGAAAAAAACTTAAGCAGTTTCTTTTTTTTTTTTTCAAAAGACTTCAAATGAAAATGCTAATCCTTACATAAAACTTTACTGTTATTTAGGTTTCAGTCTGCTCCAGGAAGTCTGAGTTTATGTGAGTGTTGCCAAATGAATCCTTAAACAACCTTTCAACCTCTATGACTCTGTCTTAAGAGTGTGTGGACGCTCACCTGCTCCTAGTGGAGGTCCAGTTGGAGGTTGCCGGGACTCTCCAGAGTCCACGCTCCAGCTGACGTATCCACCTCTGTTTGGAGATGAAGACAAGCCGTCGCAGCTTCCCATCTGTGTGGAGGACAGAGAGAGTTTCCTAATCACAGCAGCTTTGCTGCAAGCTTCCTTTAGAAAGTCTTACGTTACAACAGCCATCACTAATAAATGTCCCCACTGCCTCAGAAGCATGAAATCCTCCACTTATGTACAGCCTGTGAAAACTTTCCTACTTCTTGCTTCCTGCTTGTCGGGAGATTTATGAGCATGGCAGCAGTAGCTGTTTGTCGGTAGCACAACAAACACCCTTTGGTCTCTGAACACTCTGAGTCCCAAGTCTAAAGGTTGTAATATTGATGTCGACTTCAATTTTTATGGAGGTCGTAGCTCCTACGGGAGATTTGAATGCAATTTAGCCTTCATAAATCTACTACCGAAACTCCCTGAATGGAGCAACAGATCACTTTCTGTCATTTAGCAACAGACATGGACATCAGCAGTGACTTCACTGCTTGATAACTTCCACATGTTATTGGTGTAAATCTATATACAAATTACAGAGCTATAATCCTAGAAAGCTATCTTCATTGTGTTAACTTTTATAGTTAAAGGTGAACCCTCTGTTTTCTAGTTGTATGATGGCCAAAATGACATGAGTCAAAAATCTATCTCAAGGAAGACAGTTGCAATGCAAAACAAATCAAATTATAGCTTCCAAAGAAATGTAATTTCCTTGCATATATTTGTAGGTAACATGGTTGACCGTGGTTGTGACACAAAGACATTTGTATTTAAAAAAAAATGAAAAGGTGTGGATTACATAGCTCACACCTGATGCTGTTTACACATCTCACTTGTAAACAGTAGCTGGCCTTTTTTTGAGCTCGTGTTTTAAGTTATCACATAAAAAAAATCTGATCCGTTTTTGAAGACTAATTGGAAGTTCAGATTGATCTGTTCATGTGACAAACAAGGGAACTTCTTTTTTTATATTTTTAATCTCTGGGAAAGAAAATGATTTAGTTACAAACACCACCATGAATCTTGTTTAACTCATCAGACGAATGTGTGGTTACTGACGAAACAGAACCCCACAAACCCTCGTTGGTCGCCTTTATTTTGGCCTCCGTTTGAAGTAACTTCAATGAGTCGCTACTTGCAGCCATTTATAAATCTCCAACGCCTGCCTGAAGAAAGCTTGCCTCACTCCTCACTTCTTCTTGTGAGACGTTTGAGGGGTTTCTTACTAGTTCACCTCATTTCAAGTCACCCAACAGAATCTCAACGAGTTACAGACTCGGAGCATAAATCTGTTCCAGCCCTTCGTGGATTAACTGGGATTTTTGTAGATTCCCTTTTGGTATGAGGTTCTCTTCCTGAATTGCTGCTTAGCTTATAGCAAGCATCTCCTCTGGCATCCAAATCCATATTTTAAACATTTCAAACTCATCTGTCCTAAATGGAATATTTTTGAAATATTCTTTTCCTAAGTTCTCTCCAGTGTCTTTCTGGCCTTCATGTCTTCCTTGATGAGCTGAAGTTTCCGTTTTGCTCACCTTCAGTGAAAGCTATTCTGTTCAACTGCTTTCTGATTGCCCACATGTGAATTAACATTTCAAAGATCCTGTGTTGGAGACTTCTTTTAGCATCTTGTGGTCTGCTCTGGGGGTAAACTTACTTGAATGCCCAGATCTGGACATGTTGTAGACTGGTTTCAGTGAAACTGCTGATTTTCAATCGTTTTGAGACTTCTCTAATTTTTTTTTTGTTGTTTTTGCACCACATTCATAAGCTGGTTCAATCTTCTTCCTGTTGGTCTCACCCAACTCCTCAGACCTTACCATGATGTTTTCTCTCACTTCAACCGTCATGAGCACACCAAGAGCAAACAGAGCTGCTTTAAAATACGTTTTAAAACTTTCATCTTTAGAGATAACGTAAAGTTGTTTGTTCAGCTCCGTTTGTTTCTTTATATTATAAAGTATTTTAGAACCACTTAGACTATAGAATAACAGATTGACCCCCTCTATCAAATCTAAGTGTTCTGAGTAAAATTTGCTTTGTTAAGGTGGTGCGTAGTTAAAACTGAACTGATTATTGTTATGATTGTATGTACTGTAAAACTAAAAATATTTGTACATTGGTTTGTAACCGACTTTATCCTCTTTGATTGAAACTGAATTTTTACGGCAGTAAAAAGAGCGACTTAAAGAAACAAAGCACTGATGTTTACTGTAGTTTTATGCAACTATTTCTTATCATTTGTGATCATTTAGAAACTAAGCTTACCAGCAGATTCAGCTTTCATACAGATGTGGTTTGTCTGTTTCTCCTCTTCATGAAGCTTGTTGCCCTTTCTACAGGAAGTGAATGTGAATGGGAGGAAGGCTGATAAACTTCACACATTTAACGACCATAGCACCACGCTACTATATATATATATATATTTATTTATTTTTAAATAACTGAGTTAGGTAGTTTAGTCCATCCTTCCCCAGAAAGAGCAAACTTCAGTTAGTGCCTCCCAATGCATGAGCGCTTTTTGAGCTCAGCTAACTAAACTTTGCCTCCGTTTTCCAGATTCCACTCAATCTGATGTTTTTACCTGGAACAAAAGCCCACAATCAAATTCTGCGTCAGGCCCCATGCAACTTTGACATGGCCCTGGTAGTGTTTTTGAGTCAGCCTAACTACAACTCTCTACTCACAGAACACAGTTTTATTTTCTTTTTCAAGCCACATATGTGGTAATACACAGTTTGTCAAAAAAAGAGAGAGAGAGAGAGAGAGAAGAAGGTGCAGTTTTTCTGAGACAGGAAATAATCTAACATGGATAGCACTTATCGTCTTCCTCAAACCAGGTGAACTTTTGATTCTTATTCTGCATAATCAGCAGACGGGATTCCCCCTATCCTGAGAAGTAGCTTGCATGAAGAGCTCAGCAGATTCTATCAGGTGTTTGCTAATTGCTGATGGCTAGTCTGAAGGAGCTGATTGGTGGAGCCGTGGGGGAGGTCTGCCCTGCGAGGCAGCAGCTCGGAGGCTTGGATACTACGGCTATGAGGAGCAGCTTCACTAAGAAGGCGGGGCTAGGTCCACCCTGACGTTTTGCACAGCTGAATGGTTGCTAAGGGAAATTAAAAGATTTCTCAAACGTGTGAAAAAAATCAAGGCAATAATTTTGATGAGGGAATAACATTTTGACATGACAAAAAGCTAAAAAAAGAGAGAAAAAACAGTCAATTTTATGTAACTCTGCTCCTTTAAGGGTATTAATCGTCCATCAGCGCATTTACAAATGTCGATCAAACTTTTAATGTTTCCTTTGGGGGTATGACTTCGTCCTCTCCAAACCTTTGAGTTCGTTTTGATGCAGGACCCCACTCTGTCCAATTGGCTGCTAACATGAGTAGCAAGTCAGCCAATCTCATGGTAGCAAGTCGACTCATTTAGGCATCTAAACTAGTTGAAGATGACTTTCTGATGCTCAAGGCGAGCATAAGAATGGGAAAACAACTACAGCTACAACTTTGTTTTTTTGTGTGTATATCAGACAATTCTAATGTATTAGGATTTTCAGATTTAGTCTTTCGTTTCTAGAGAACAGTACGGAAAAAGAAGAGATACCCACTGAGTGGTGGTTGTGTGGATGGAAATCCTTTGTTGATGTCAGAGGTCAGAGAAAGAGTGGGAAGACTGGTTTGTGTGGATAGAAAGGTAACATAGCTACTTGTTATAACTGAGGGATTCAGGAAGCTGTAATTCGCACAGTCTTACCAAAAATATTGCCTGGTCCTTTGAGTCGCAATTCCTGTTGCAATGTTCGGACATTAGAGACAGAATTATGTGTGAACAATGTGAAGGAACGGATTCATCCCGCTCAGCGGTCAGAGTTGTTGTTCTTGGTGGTGTAATGGAGTGGGGAATATTTTTTGGCACACTTTAGGATCATTAGTACCAACTGAACCGTGCAGACTACCTAAGTATTCCTGCTGACCAACTTTATCGCTTTATGACCACATTGTACCCATCTCCTGAAGGCTAGGATGATGCACAAACTTCAGATCATCTCGTACTGGTTTCTAGAACACGATTATGGGTTCTCTGTACTCCACTGTCCTCCAAAGTCACCAGATCTCAGTCCAGTTGAACTCCTTTGGGATGCGTTGCAATGGAGGACTCACATCATGAACGTGTAGCCAATAAAACTGCAGCAACTGTGTGATGCTGTCATATCAATGTAGACCAAGCGACTCTAAGGAACGTTTCCTTCAAATTGTTGAATCTAAGCCACGAAGAATTAAAGGGGTTCTGGAAGGAAACAATGGACCCAACTCAGCAGACATAGTGAGCGCTTGTTGTTGACGTTCTTGCACCGAATGCTGACTTGGCGTTTCAAGCTTTAAAACTTTGAGAAATATTAAAGTTCATTGGTGAAATTTCATGCTTTAAGATAAACAGAATGTAGAGAAAATTTAAGCTTTCTTTGGTAGATCAGGGCTTCACCGTTTGACAGATTTGACATTAAGTCTGTTTTCAGTAGCAGAAGCCGCACTTCACAGCTTCCTGTACGACTTCAGAAGTCAACTGCGATTGTAAATGATAACATCTTTAAAACTTTCCTTTTTCTGTTTAAAAACAAAAAAAATGGAGGAGGAAAAAAACAAAACAAAAAAAAAACTACGTCCATCCCAGCAGAGGGCAGCTGCTGCCCAGTACACAACACGTCCCCGGATTACTCACCGTGCCGTGGACTTCTGACGTCTGGCTGTGAAGAAACCCTGTCAGGGTCCAGCGAGACAAACCCGCGACGCTGTTTATCCACCAAAAGCTGTTGAAAGGAAGGCAGGCGGTTGATTAGCACTTCCTGTATTCAAGACTGCTTGTGTGCCTTCTGTGGTTGAACACTTAGTAATGTCTTCCCTGACGGCTGAGAGGCCAGAAAGCCTTCCACTCCGCTTTCTACTGGGGTAATGACACCGACTACAAATATTCCAGCAGGTACTTGGGCTCATTAGCAAAAAAAATGACCCATTTAAGATGACCTTATCTGACTCATCTTGAATGTAAATCTGTTAATATGACAGGAAACAGCCTCTCTGACATCGAGATAGGGTTTTACTTTTGAGGTTAACATTTTCAGTCTTTGTTCAGCAGAAATGCTACTCATGGAGCTCCTCAGTACTCAGTGGGCTCGGCGGGCCGGGCTGCCTCATCTGCTGTCAGCTGCTGCTTCTGAAAGAGGAAGCTCCGTTTATGTAAAGCATCGATGGTTTTTGATCTGCATTTTGATCACATGAAAAAAAAAAAAAAATTAAAGTAGGAACAATTCAGATTCAATTTCTCTGAGAGGAACTGTGTACTGGTAGATCCCACAGACGGTTTCCATGGAGACCACGGTGTGACTTTATGAAGATGCTTAGTAAATCCTGCACACTTACGGTCAATTTTAAGAATAATGAGGTCATACGTTGTAAAGGAAATTCAGACATTTCTAAAAAGGAGAAGACAAGATAAAAATGTTCCCCGCAAAGTCAGGACGGTTTTGGGAAGTGAGAAAATGATCAGTAAAAAGGGAGCATCCAAATCAATAGGTGATTGTTTTGGGAAATAGTTTGAGGAGGTGTTCACAAGATGGAGGTCAGCATATAAGAAGAGAACTCTTTAAAGTCTTAGATATTGTTTTTAGTCGTTCTCAGAAAGTGCAGGTGTAAGAAAGTGTTCTTGGGGATATTTTAAGAAAAACGATGGCAATATGCAAGACTATCATTATTTCCTTAGTTTTGGAAAAATCTGTTATAATCTGTTACCTAAACATCTTCAGGAAATGTTTTATGAAATGGAAGGCAAATACTGAATTTCAAAATATGGCATCCAAACAACTATGAAAAGATTCTGCATCACTGTAGCTGGAGAATATGGAACTAAAACAATGCCCACACATCAATACATACAAAGCTATGATACTCACTTTGCACACAAATATGAGTTTTTCCTTCCTTTCTTCTGTGTTACTATTACTACTATTGGTAGCTTATTATTGTTATCTCACTATATTTGTTATTATTACATTGGCAAAAAGTTGGTAATTATTCTGATGTTGTTATTTACAATTGTCATTATTACTGTTATTAATATCCATAGATTTTCTTGGCTGATGAGAGTTACTTTGTAACCATTTTGTCTATGTAGTATAATGTATTTGTTGGTTCTTTAGCCCAGTGCATTGAACAGACACATGAATATTATGACATGATTTTAATTACAAATGTTTGATCATTATTGAGTTGGTGAGTAATATAGTTCATTAAATAGAAATGAGGGGTGGGATTAGATAAATGTTCACTTCTTCCTACTCCTTTTCAAACAGAAAAGTAGTGGTGAGCTTTGATCTTGGTTACGTATGCACATGTTTCCTCTGTCCTACTGATTGCTTGTTTCCTTGTTTTTAGAAACCTGTTTGAAATAAATAAATCAAATCAAACCAAAAATGACAGATCTCCACACTTTGAAATAAAAATATTACAGAAAATGTCTGCGGACGTCAGACTTTGTTGTGTGTTGCATTTTTTAAAAATTTATTTTTAACTTTAAGAAAGTTTCCATTAATGTCCAACAGCATAAGACTGTTGCTTAACTTTACGTTTTATTTATTTGTTTGGAAAATTCAGTTTTATCTGGAATGAGAAGCAGGTCAACATCAGAGTTATTGTGCAGTGCATAATGTCAGTGAACGTCCTCACAGCTGTACAAATACAAACGTGGTGGTGGAGAACTCGGTGATCAGCAGTGGCAACATGCTGACCCACTCTTGTCATGGAATCAGCTGACTCAGCTCTAACCCTCTCTCACACACACAGACACAGTGCTAGCATGCACATTGGTTAGAGGTAAATAAAGGCTTTTACCCACAAACCAGTTCCATTTTTTAAATAGAAACGCTCTTCACCTACTTCTACGCTTTTAGGTCCATCTGAAAATGTTACTATTTTAGTCAGAGTTTTTTTTTTTTAATTATACCTCTGAGGAGATGGAAATGGAAATGAGATTTTTGCCTTTCAGCATTTTGACGCCTACACTCAACTCTCCCACACCATCTCTCACAGTTTGTCATGTTTCTGATAAAACGGGCGATAAGAAAGTGAATAACACCTTGTTGGAGAGTGATTTACTCCTTTTTTTATGCACAATATTTCTTTCCAGTGACATCACGGTTTTGAGTTTCCTACATTAAGGCCATTACAGTTAAAAAAACAAAACAGGAATTCAAGAGAATTTGGAGATTCAATGTGGGTTTTATCTGATCAATTCAAAAAGTTATCAGAGCTATAAATGTGGTTTAGACCTTTAGGGATAACCTGCTTTGAACAAAGACTACTGCCTATACGCTGAGGCAGGAGGAAGGCATTAGTGGCACAAAGACAAACATTAATAGGGAACAGAAACTGAAAAATGCTCAGGGAAGTCGGTACAAACAAAGCTTTTTATAGCTATTGGTACAAAAACTTGAAACCATTTTAAAAATGTGCGTATAATTTAAAAGCTACATTTATCTGTAAGCTGAATGGGCTACAGCTAGATGCTGAAGCTCAGCTAAGCTAAACGGGTTAGCATACAGCGTGGCTAATTCGTCATCCCTCCTTCCCCTTTTATTGTATGATAAACATGCTGCCACAATCGAAAAAAGACAAAAGTAGTTATCTTGGAAAAAGACAAAAATTTCTATTGAATCGTGGATATGTCAATTATCATTGTAAACTTTAGTAGCAGGCGAACAAACCTATAACCAAATAGCAAGGTTGTTGTTCTATAAACTGGTGCTTTTAAGTTTCATGTCAGAAAAATGAACCGTAATCCTGCATCAAGTTGGGATTCGGACTTTAAAAATGCAAGGTTTCTCACCAACCCCAACCTCCAAATCCAATATGGCTGCCATGTACTTAAAAGATAAGAGAACACTGACATACTAACAAGCTTATTTGTATTTCTGGTGGTTTTTATACCATCCAACCTTACGTAGATTGCACATTACAATATGTTTGTGAAAATTTTCTTTAATGCTTGAATAAATATGGCAGAGACATACATTGATATTTGCCTGTTTTGCTAATAATTGGCCCTGATCACAACAGTTAGCAAATCCATAAATGTAAAGTTTTTGGAACTGGATCACTGATAAGTTGGATGTGACTTAATTTAAAGATCTGGTAAGCTTCAACTTTTTAACATATACTGACTGACACTGAATGATCACAATATATTAGAGTTGAATAAATATCCCTCTCATCAAAACCTATTGTATTCATGACAGCTGGTACTATGTTAATAAGTTTCAGAGTTTCACTTTGACTCCTCCAAACTTACAGCCAAATGGTTTAATCATTGTCGACCATATCCATAAACTTTTATTATCCTCTTTATTTTTAACATGGCACTTTTATGGTGTTGTCTTGGCCAGAAGTCTCTCAAAAGTGAAATTTGGAATCTCAGAAGTACTGTCCGTGTTAAATTAAAATGAGATAAAAATGTAAAAAGAGTTTAAAATTCAAGTTTTACACTTACATGGTTATTTTGTCCACTTGCAATATTGTAAGCTAAATCTTACAAAAATGAATCTGGTGAATCTGGAGCTAAAAAAAAGACGCTTAGAGCCACCATCAACATTTTTCCAAGTATTCTTGGTAATACTTGGCTTTTGGTAATAGAGCTAAAACTCTTCTGGGATTACTAACCATTATTACTGTCACGAGAAAAACCCAGTTTTGTTTAGGTCATTTACTCAGTGTTGTACTCCTTTTTTGTTGAGATTTATAGCACTGTTTTTGGTCGAGTTTTAGAACTTTTTGTCCCAAGTTAAATATTATTAATTAATTTGTATTATTGAGTAATTAAATTTTATAGTATTTATTTTGTTTATTGTACACATTTACTTTATATTGTTATTATTTTTATGGCAATAATATTATCATTAGTGGTTGTGGTAGTTTTGAGATAACACACCACATTTATTTTGTATATTTTAATTTTCATTTATTTTTTCCTATCATACTGTCGGTAGCTGTCCGAAGAGCTTCATACTTTTTGGCCAGAAGAGGTCGCTATTTACCAAGTAACTACATTTGAAGCTTTTAATTGTCCTGCTTTTGAGGCAATGAAAGGCGCAACTGCGCAGCCGCAATGAATAGATCAATATAATTCCAATTTAAACCTAAAAGTAGTTTGTCTTCAAAATAGAACCTGTTGTGTGAGTAAATAAATATTTGGTCTGACGTTTTTGCACCTTTAACAGGTGCAAGAGGAATACTAGAACTTGTCAAAATTAGGAGAAATGTCAGTTCTCTAACGTAGTGCTGAACTTGTATGAAAAAAAAATCACTTTATATACCAGCAAAACATTGACAACATTGTCAAATATCTTGCTTTTACATTTTTGAAACTGCACATTTCAGAACTGCTGGCCACAAATACACAGCTTGACAGCAGAGTTTTATTTTGAAGGTCAGCGCCGGACGTCGCTCTCTTCTCATATCCGCAAAACTTGACGTAACGGGCACACTGAGAGGAAGACCGGGCGCCGTTTGTTGGGAATCTCACCGCGCGACAGGGCACGGCACGGCAGGCTTTGGGGAAGTCGGTGTCCCGCTGAATCTGCGCTTCCCACCTGGATATAACCGGACGCACGCGTGGCGGAGAAGCGGAAAATTATGGCGACGTTGGGACCGGAGTCGGCTCGCCCTCCCCTCGCCCAGCTCGGATCTCCTCCGTCTAACCAGCCTCACGTCGGCTGCGCGAACCTGCCTCCCAACCGGGGCTTGGAGCGCGCGCTGGAGGAGGCGGCGGCCAGCGGTGTGCTGAACCTCAGCTGCCGCAAGCTGAAGGAGTTTCCCCGGACCGCCGCCAACCACGACCTGAGCGATACGGTGGAGGCAGGTACGGTGCTCTCCGGGTTGTAATTTCTGAATTGACGGGTCCTGAGAGATGCCACTAGTAGCAGGACTGCAGCGTTGGGATACACTGTTTACTGCTTTGCTTACTGCGGTGACGTTTCCGTTATTCATAATGAACCCAGACATGTTTACACCTGAAGCTGCAAGGAGAGAGAAGGCGTGTGTGCTTTGGTCCTATGTGCATTTGCAACTTTTGCAGTTGTGCAATGAGTGAACACGCCGATTTAAGCCTCGTAATTAATGACCTCGTGGGAAAATGACTGAAGGTCCTGCAGAAGGTTTATGCTAAACAGCAGTGGAAGTGGGCACTGGTTGCTAACTGGGCCTTGAGTGGAAATCCCCCCCCCTTCCTTCCTTCATTTTTTTTTTTTTTTTTTTTGTCCATGTCCAGTTGTAAACAGGGACGGGAGGCATCAGGGACCCACACAGCGTCACATTGTTCTGAAAACAGCTGCTTCATGTGCACAAGTTCATGTGTATCAAGCAGTTCTCCCAAAAAATGATTAGTTGCATCTTTTCTGCAAAGCTGCTCCGGTTGATCCCGAAAATGTATCCCCAGCTCCATATTCAGATCTACACATTTGTAGGGATGCACCGATCCACTTTTCTCACTTCCGATACCGATATCTGAGGTGTATCAGCTGATACCGATCTGATACAGAAATCGGATCTAAACTAAAACATTTCTTTTTTTCAACAGATCTTCATGTATTGAATTACACATTTGTATGATAACTCTGGACCAGAAAAGCACAGTTAAATCCTCCCATTGCTTCACAAGCCTGGTCCAACATCCAATGTAAAACAAATAATAAGGAAACTGACTAAAGCAATAGGTTGACTACTTTGGTCAAAAGTGTAAAAAAATAAACTGCAACAAACCTTCTTTCAAATGGTTTGTTGCAGTTTAGCAAACCATTTGTTTCAAATGCTTTGAAACAAATGGTTTCAAACCATTTGTTTCAAAGCAAATGGTTTAAAAATCTGGCAATCTTTAAAGCAGATCTTTAAAGATCTTTAAACCATTGGGCACATTGTCACCAATGTCTAATCTAGAATTTTTCTCCGATGCAGATATTAATATCGGATTGCTGCCTCTTATATTTAGCCTTGTAAAATATGTTCACGCCTTTTTGAACTCATCCATGTTATTTTTCTCATCACTTTAAGGGAGTGACAATTTTGTCCGTCCTATTTTGCAAAATAACTCAGATTTTAAGCAAAACATCCTTTTGCATCTCGCCACAGATTCGTAACTGGATTTAGTTCTGGACTTTGACTAGGCTGCTCCAACACATGAATTTGCTTTGTTCTAAACCGTTCCACATGTTTAGTGCCATTGAGACACTCATCTCAAGCCCCTCCAGATCCTCCTCTCCAAATGGGTTTTCTTCCAGCTGAGAAGAACCTGGGGTCACCGCGGTGAGATAGAGCACGGGTCACCAACCCATTTGCAATTGAGCGCTACTTCACCAGCTTTGAATGATACTTGCAGTTTATTTTTAAATGTATCACTTGATTAATGTTTTTTGTGTAGCATTAGAACAGCTTCGAGGGGTTACTGGTGTGATCTTTGGGGTCAAAGGGCACTGTGTTGGTAGGACTGGGCATTTATCATGTCATTTATCGTGACACATTTACTGTATGACTTTCAGTCTGTCGTTGTCATGATAAATTCCAGTTAATGCTGTTTAAATCCCCCAAAATCATCTGCGTTGAAATCTTTTAAACTTATACAATTAATTTAAATGAGAATATTAAAATATTTCAATAAATTTAAAAATATGGTAATATACAGTTACTGTGTGCAGTTTAGTGCCACAAATCAGGCTTTTTTTTATGTGACTAAAGTAAAGTATTGCAAATGGGAATGTTTTCCTGGAGCAGTATTTGTGTTAGTGGGGCTATAATTGGTGTGACACACAGTCATAATCAGACTGTTACCAGAAAACGGGAGTAATAAATAGTTATCACTTTTAGCATTTTGCAATAGCACAACATGTTGCAATAAAACTTAATGTGTTGGTTGTCCTGTCGCAATAAGCAATAAATGAATTGATCGCATGATAAATGAAAACAAATTCAATCATATCCATTCGCATAGTTTATTGTTTATCTTTTTTCTCTCTTTGTGTTTCTCCTGAAAACCGGATGACAAAAGTCTTCAGTCTGGTGCTTCGGTCTCAGCTAGACCTTTTTTTTTTTTAAAAGTGAAGGACAATTTTAATTACAGACACTCCATAATTCATTGTATTTGTTGTTTTTATTCATTTATTTTGGATATTTAAAATATCTCCCAGATTCAGTGTTAAACATTCATTAGAATTTAAAGTTGAGAATCCGTTACTGAATTTTTATGCCTTTACCTTCGTATTACTTGAAAATGGTCTGAAAACAACAATATTATAGTTTAGCGCAATCATTTCTGGGACAGCAGAATTTGTGATTGTGACAGGTGAGGGAGCTGGGATTAATGTGCAAAGAAGAATTTTTCATAAAATCAAGAAAATTACGTATCTCGACTTGGAGGCTTCTGCAGATAGCGCTGTGATACAGACTGCTACAGGAGATCCTCCCTACACTGCCATCAGCATCAGTAATTTTTTTATTTTTTTTTAAACTGAATTTAGCTTCGTCTAGTAACTAGCGAGCAGAAATAACTTTTCTCAAGACTAACTTAACGAAGCAGGTCGTGCTTCCTCATTCCTTTTCTGTGAAGCAGAGCCTGTAAAGAATGGGGGAAGAAAAAAAAACCTGCAACAGCTCAGTCACAACATTGCTCTTTAAAAATCTTAGCTGCTTCAACATTTCCCGCATGTCCCATAATGCACATTGGTTGCAATCCTGGTCAAAAACTCCTCACAGGAATTTATTTTTTTTTTAAAAACAAACAAAAAAAAAACATTCTAATTGAATTTAAAAACAGATGTTGCTTTTCCGAGAAGCAAAACAAAATGAAATTCCTCTCCTCCCCTGGAAGCGCTCCGCTCCCCTCAGAGCTGCGCAGACCGCGCCGTCATCAGCTGTGGAGCTCCTCTGACTTTATCTGAGCGCTCTGAAATGAAGCGCGGCTTATGTAAGACCATCACGGCCTGATAACAGAAACAGGACGGAGACTTGGGGAGGTGAAGTAAAGCGGGTGAGAACGTGACAACTGTGTTCGTATAGCTTAGCCGGTTCGTTTTCTTGGTTAGACTTGTTTAGCCAAAGCAGAACGTGTCGCCTTTGTACAGCAAATTTTCATCTGATATTTGCTTGTTTTCAGCTGCAGCAAAGAATGCATTGTTTTTTTTTTTTTGTTTTTTTTTTAATTACGGAGTCTTAAATCCGGATCAGACCGCTCTGTAATTACTGACCTAAGTGCTAAGATTTGCTTGCAGGAAGCTTCCCTGCAGCGAGGCCTGATCCGGATCTCCTCCCCCCCCCATAAGCCGTCGTCCAGCATCTTGTGATGCCTCATTCCTCACAAACCGATGGGAAAGCTGAGCAGGGAAACATGTCACCAAGCAGACTTCTGCAGCCTCCAGGGCACAGATACTCGCATGCTTGGTGTAACTCACACCTAAACAGGAAAGAAAAGGTATGCGACTTGAATCGAGGCCTGAGAAAAACGAGTGAAAATCTCTCTGATCACATGGTAACTGAGACCAACCCCCCTTCTGTCACCCCACACACCCACCGATGAAACAAAATTAGCAGAGAAAGAGCAGAGTGAGTCACCGTGACCGACGCACACGTGGGTTAGAGGGGGCTCGTGCTCGCAGACCTGCATGCACAGAGTTCAACTTTAGTGCGCAGAGAAGAAGATGCAGCGCATGCATGCAACTGTCAGCAGCAACACAAGCCTCGGCTTGTCTGGAAACACGAAATAGAGCTGGCAACTTTAAACATTCCTCCCACTGAGTCCTTCTGATTAGCTAAATCAAGCTTTGCTTGGTGGCTAGGTGGGCAAAACTGAAAGGAAGTGTGGAAATATGAACTGTAGAAAAAAGGAGAAGATATAACCTCTTTCTTTAGCTGCTGTTTGACCTATTTCTTTATAGAAATTATAATTATTAGGAATGCACCATATGAAAACTTTGTACCATTATCCAGTATTGCTGTTACAGCCATTTACCCATATCTGTTATCAATAAGTGATATGGGTAAATCGGTTATTGGGTAAAAATCGGGTTAAAGGGTAAAATGTTGTACTTTACCTTTCTACACAGTTACCGTTTTTAATATCAGCTCATGTTTTAAAAACATGACTGACATTGGCTGATGCTAGAGGTGCAGAAAAAACGTAATTCTATAAAGAATTGAAATTCCTGATCGTGGGAACACTGAATCGATTCAGAATGCTCAAAAATCAATTGTAAAATGCATTTTAGACGTGCGTCGTATTTGAGTATGCCGCACATCGCTTTACATGTCCACTCGCCCACCGTGTGTATTTTGAGTAATTCTTTGATTATTATTATTTTTTATTATTATTTAAGGAAAAAACATCAAAGAATTACCAATTTGGTCCTGAATGCGACCCATTTTCTCAATAGTGGTACGACAAAAAAGAGTTCATTTGAGAAAAAGTTTAAAAGTTAAGTGTTCAACACTGAAAGTCTCCTTGTGGTTCAACGACAGACACACACGAAGCAAGACTTAGGATAGAAAATGAACAGAAAGATTGGAAACTTTTTCTTCAACTTAAGCTCCATAAAGTTTTTGCAGCGCTCTAGTAGTTGGGCATCAACCTCTCAGGTTCTGTGCAGTCACAGGCGTCACTCTCTTTCCTAGTCAGATGGTCAAACATCCTAATATTTCATTTTTGCTCATAAATGAAACGCCCCGTCTGGTTGCTCCGATTTACATCGATGATATTCCTGTGGTTATATTTCTGCCTCCAACCTGAGACTGATGTGAGCTCATATATCTGTGAGAACAAACAAAAATCACTCTCCTTCTCATGCTCACACTCGGCCCAATGTCTGCCTTCACTGTGTA